GCAACGACCCAGAGGCCACCAGGGGGAGCCGGAGGGGGCCCCTGCACTTGGTAGGCAGGGACCCGGTGACCCCACCAGAGCTGCCGGGAGAGGCACCAGTCCCTGTGGGGGGACAAAGACATGGGGGTAATGGGGTATGGGGCATGGGGTATAGCATATGGGATATGGGGTGTGGGGACATAGGGATATGCGGTATGGAGTACGGGATATAGAATATGGGATGTGGGGTATGGAATATGTGGTATGGGATATGGGGTATGGGGCATGGGATATGGAGCTATAGAGATATATGGATATAGGGATGCTTTTCCTTACCCCACATTATCCATCCAGGTTTTCCAATTCTTCTCATGGAATTTAGGGATCAGTTGGAGGCGTCCGGATGTCACTGCCTGGGGAAGGGGGATGAATGGGCGGGGGTCACACAGGCAGGGTTTGGGGGTGTCACCCCCATATCCCCATATCCCACATCCCCATGTCCCTGTCACCTCCCGGGCCCGCGCTGCCATCTCCTGGCACCGCAGGAACCATTGACTCTTCAGCAGGTACTCAACGACGTCCCCAGAGCGGCTGCGGGGACACTAGGGTCACCTCGATGGGGCTGGGATGGGGATGGGATTGGGATGGGATGGGGATGGGATGGGGATGGACATACCTGCACATGGGGAGGGTCATGGCGTGGTCCTGGGTGCCACGGTGCAGCCCCAGATCGGCCAGAGCAGCCACAACCTTGTCCCGTGCCTCAAAGCGATGGACGCCCTGGGGACACACATGGGGACATGGGGATGGACACAGGGAGACAGGGATGGACATATGGACAGACATGGGGACATGGGGATGGACACAGGGACACACATAGGGATGGACATAGGGACACCCAAGGGGATGAGCAGTACCTGGAGCCACCCCCCGCCCGGGGGGCACATGGTGCCATCGTCCCCGATGACAGAGAGCAGGGGCAGCCCCTGGGCCCGGGCCAGCACCAGGTCACGGGGACTGTGCCCCGGGGTCACCTTCACTGCGCCTGTGGGGGGGGGACGACCCCATTAACACCCTTGAGCCCATTGAGACCCCCCAACCCCCTCAGCCTGGCTCCCAGTCCTAGCCCCATACTGGTTCCAGTACCGGTGCCTTGGGTGGGCTCCACGGAGGGGTCGGTGACGATGGGCAGGAGCTGCCCCGTGAACGGGTGCCGGACCCGGCGGCCATGGAGGTGCTGGGGAAAGGGAGGGAATCACGGCGGGCACAATCCCCGTCCGCCACGCACTGTCCCTTTAAGAGCATCGGGCCCCCATCTCCCCAACGCGCTGCCACAAGCCCCGCCTACTTCCCCTTATATGGACGCATCCATTCATAAAAGCCGAGGCGCTAAAGCAGCTCAACAGCCAATGGCTGCGAGGCACTTACTGCTGAAGCCACGCCCCCCCCGGTAAACCACGCCCCCTTCCCAAGCCCCGCCCCTCACCGTGTACCGGGGATCCTCGGGGTGCACGGCCACGGCCACGTCCCCCAGCATCGTCTCCGGCCGCGTCGTGGCCACCGGTAGCTCCAGGCCTGAACACGCCAAGCACATGCCAAGGACATGGGATGCCCACACGTCATAGCATGATGGGGCAGCCCACGCGTGAAGGGGGCACGGTGGGGGGGGGGTCCCAATGGTCACTCACCGTCCCTCCCGTCCACCGGGTAAGCAAAGGTAACGAGGAGGCCGAAGGTGATGGGATGGGGACAGCCGGGGACACGGAGCGCTGTGGGGCCCGTCAGGGAGCGGGGCTCCACCTGCATGGAGATGGGGGGGCTGGGACACCATGGGGAACCCCCAAGGACCCTTTGGGGCCCCTTTAGGGACCCCTTGGGGCCGCACTCGCCTCCACATCAGCCAGTGCGGAGCGCAGGGCACAGGACCAGGTGACGAGGCGGCGGTCGCGATGAATCAACCCGGCCTCGTGCAGGCGCACGAAGGCTTCGATCACCGCCCGTGAGAAGCCCTGTGGGGACGTGATGGGGACGTGTCAGTGGGGACACAGTGGGGACACGATGGGGACACGGTGGGGACATGATGGGGATGCACTGGGGACACACTGAGGAGGGACTGGGGACATGACGGGGACACTACAGGAATGCATTGGGGACATATTGGGAATGCATTGGGGAGGCATTGAGGACACACTGGGGACACGATGGGGACACAATGGAGACAAATGGGGACACGATGGAGACACAATGAGGACATGATGGGGATACTTTGGGGACACATGAGGGACACGATGGGGACATAATGGGGACGCACAGGGGACATGATGGGGACACTATGGGGGTTCCCAATGTACCGGGTCCATGGTGAAGGTGCAGCGGCTCCAGTCCAGCGATGCTCCCAGCACTCGAAGCTGCTGCAGGATCTCATCCCCATGCCTGGACCAAGTGGGGTGGGACGGGACAGACACACATGGCTTTGGGGTGACAATGTCACCTCATATGCCCCATTGTCACCCCCCCACCTCCCCACTATCCCCCTCACCGTTGTTTCCAGGCCCAAACCTCTTCCAGGAACTGGGAACGGGTCAAATCCTGGCGCCGTAAGCGCCGGTGCTGCCATAACCAGCGCTCCACCACTGCCTGAGGACACCAGTGGGGACAATGGGGAGGCTGTTTGGGACATTGGGGACAACGGGGATAATGGTGGGAGGGGTCTCACCTGGGTGGCAATGCCAGCATGGTCAGTACCCGGCACCCAGAGCACGGTCCAGCCCTGCATCCTCCGCCTGAAACAGCACCACCAGCACCCATGGGTGCCCCCAGGCCCCCCCAACCGCCAACACACCCCTTATGGGTGACCCCAGGCCCCCATCCCCACTGACCAGCGCACGAGGGCGTCCTGCAGAGCCACCGTCAGCGCGTGGCCGAGGTGCAGGGAGCCAGTGACGTTGGGGGGGGGCAGCACCAGGCTCAGGACACGGCCCCCGGCTGGTGTCTGTTATGGGGGGGGAGAACATGGGCTGAGACCGGGCACAGCTCAGGGCAGCAATGGGCTGAGACCGGGCACAGCTCGGTGCAGGAATGCACTGAACCCCCATAGGGTTGCAATTACCACTCCCCCCCCGGCTGCCTGTCCCCACTCACCGAGGCTGGGGGGGTGAAGAAGCCCTGCTGCTCCCACCAGCTGTACCAGGCGGCCTCCACGTAGCGGGGGCTGTAAGAGGGGGGCAACGGCACCCCCGTGGCTGTACCCCAAAGGTGTCACCAGGGGTCAGTACTCAGCCACCCCCACATAATCCATACCCTAAATATCACCTTATAGCCCTTATGCCACCCCTACCCCCCATGTCACCCCATAGCCCCCCCCATCACCCACAACCCCCTTGTCACCCCATACCCCCCCTTTTCACCCCATAGCCCCCCCCCCCTTTCATCCCCTCCGTACCCTTCTTGCCATCGGCTTCCAGGGGGTGCTCATACTCCACGATGCTTTTGGGGGTCCAGCCTTTGGGGGGGGGTGTTGGCACCTGCCAGACCAGTATAAACCAGTATAGACCAGCACAAACCACTGTAGTATTACCAGTACAATAGTATACTGCTATAAACCCGTAGAAACCAGTATAAACCAGTACAAATCACTGCAGTATTACCAGTACAATAGCATAACCAGTATAGATTGATAGAAACCGCTATAAACCAGCACAAACCACCGTACTATTACCAGGACAACAGTATAACCAGTATAGATCCATAAAAACCACTATAAACCAGTATAAACCACTATAGTATTACCACTACAATACTATAACCAGTATAGACCAATGGAAACCAGCATAGATCAATACAGAGTCACTGAAACCAACATAAACCCGTCCAAACCCCTATAGTAGTACCAGTACAATAGTACCAACGTAGACCAATAGAACCCAGTATAGATCAATATAGGCTCATAAAAACCAACATAAACCAGTACAAAACAGTATAGTATTACCAGTATAACAGTATAACCACTATAGATCCTGAGAAACCACTATTGATCAATAGAGGCCCATACAGATCGATATAAACCAATACAAACCACTATAGTATTACCAGTACAGTGGCATAACCAGTATAAACCAATACAAACCAGTATAAACCAATACATACCCATTAAAACCAGTATAAACCAGTCCGCACCACACACTCCAGTGCCCCCCAGTTCACCCCAATGCTCCCGGTTACCCCCAGTCCTTCCCAGTTGCCCCCAGTACCCCCTCCCATACCCCCCCCGCCTTGTCCCAGCCCCGTACCTGCACCCCGGCCCCCCCCACGGCCGCTCTCTGCCTCCTCTCCCGCTGCCTCCTCTCCTTGTACTCGCGGTCCCGGAGCCGGCTCCGCTCGGCGGAGCCCCGGGGGGGTCCCGCGGCGCCGGGGGGGACCCCGCAGCACCGGGCCCGGCTCCCCACGGCCGCCCGCAGAGCGCGGGGGGCAGCGGCCAGGCCGCGGGACAGCACCGGTGCCGCCATGGAGGGAAGGAGGGAGGGCGGGCACTAGGACCCGGTGGGGCACGGGGAGCCCGGCTCACGTGACAAGCGCTACCAGCGCTCGCAAGGCAGGGGGCGTGGCCGACGGCGCGCCGCATGGCGGGAAAAGGAGGCGTGGCCACGGTGGTGCTGAGGACACGGTGAGAAAGGGAGGACATGGGGGGGGGACTTGGGGGGCAGAGATAGGGGATAATGGGGGAGACTTAGGGGCGGAGATGGGGGCAATGCGGGGGACTTGGGGGGCAGAGATGGAGGGCAATTGGGGGGGACTTGGGAGGCAGAGATGGGGGCAATGGGAGGGACTTGGGGGCAGAGATGGGGGGCAATTGGGGAGGACTTGGGGGACAAAGATGGGGGCAATGGGGGGGACCTGGGGGCAGAGGTGGGGGGACATGGGGGGCAGAGATTGGGCAATGGGGTGACTTGGGCAGGAATGGGGGGCAATGAGAGGACTTGGGGGTCAGAAATGGGGGGGGGGGGCACAGCCTCACCCCACTGTCGCTCTGCTGCCGCTGACAGGAGCTGATTGACGGGGGGGGGCGATGGAGGCCACGCCGTCCCCCCCCCGGCTGCAACGGGGGCAGCTCCAATGCAAGAACCTGCACGAGTTCCTGCGGGGCCTGAGCCCCCCCGTCCTGGACCGGCTCTATGGGCACCCCGCCACCTGCCTGGCTGTGTTCCGGTGACACCCCCCCCCCGTACACCCCAATATCGCCCATGGGCACCCCAATACCCCTTATGGCTCCCTGACTCCCCCATGCACCCTAATACCCCCCCCAGTGCACTCCAGTATCACCCATGAGCACCCCAATACCTCTTATGGCCCCCTGAAAACCCCGTGCACCCCAATACCCCCCAGGGGCACCCCAATATCACCCATGGGCACCCCAATATCCTTTATGGGTCCTTGACCCCCTCCTTTGCACCCAATACCCCCCCCCCGGGCACCTCAATATCACCCATGGTCACCCCAATACCCGTTATGGGTCCCTGACCCCCCCCCCCCCGTGCACTCCAATATCTCTTATGGGTCCCTGACACCCCCCCGTGCACCCCAATACCTCTTATGGGTCCCTAACACACCCCCCCATCCAGGGAGCTGCCGGCGCTGGCTCAGACCGGGATCATGCGGATGCTGTTCCTGGAGCAGCCACTGCCGCAGGCGGCCGTGGGGCTGTGGGTCAAGAAGGAGCACAGCAAGTGGGTGCTATGGGGGGGTCAATAGGGTGCTATGGGCGGTACTGGAGGTCCCTTGGGTGCTGGGGGGGGGGTCCATAGGGTGCTATGGGGGGTACTGGGGGGTGCCCTGGGTGCTGGGGGGGTCCCATTACCTCATAGCCCCAAGTTACCCCCCCATTACTCCCCTATGCTCCCCATACCCCCATCAAGCCCAAGTCACCCCCTCCTTGCCCCCGTGACCCCCATTACCCCCTCTGCCCCTATTACCCCCATAGCCTCATCACCCCAAGTTACCCCCCATTATCCCCCTCTGCCCCCCATTACACCCCAAGTTGGAGGGGGGGAGGTCTGGGGGTGTTCCATCACCCCCATGGGGGCTGGAGGGGTGTTTAGGGGTCCCTAAGGCTTCTCCCCCCACCCTGTGCATAGGGAGCAGGCAGAGAGCCGGGAGATGCTGCTGGGGCTGCGGCTCTGGCACCCCCACACACTGCCAGGGGGGCTGCCAGGTGTGGGGCTGCACCCCAGCTTCAGGCACAACCTGCGCCTGGCCCTGCTGGGGGGGTGAGTTATGGGGCGCAATGGGGGTAAGAGGGGCTATGGGGTAAGGGGGGTAGTGGTGGCTATGGGGGTAAACTGGGGTGATGGGGTTATGGGGGGTAATGGGGGCACAGGGGTGTAGTGGGAGGGTAACTTGGGGGGTGACTGGGTGCTATGGGGGGAATGGGGAATAATGGGGGTCACAGGGGGTAATGGGGGGCAGAAGGAAGTAATGGAGGCTAAGTGGGGTGACAGGGCTATGGGGTATAATGGGGGTGTAATAGGGTATAATGGGGTATAAACGGGGGGCTAATGGAGTATAATGGGGAGATGTAATGGGGTATATTGGGGGGTGTAATAAGGTATAACGGGGGATGTAATAAGGTATAATGGGGGGGTTCTGTGTTACAATGGGGGGGGCTTGGGGCTCTCCATGGCACCACACTGGGGGTGCAGGGGCAAGGCCTGGTCCGATGACACGAGCCAGCTGGGGCCGGACCGACACGCGCGGGATGTGCCGGCGCTGGACCGGTACGCGGAGGAGCGCTGGGAGGTCAGCGGTGGGGGGGCCCATATCCATCACCCTACCCCATGCCCTGGGGGGTCCCCGAGGTCCTGAACACCCCCCCCCCCCCATTTCAGGTGATCCTGCACTTCATGGTGGGGTCCCCCAGTGCTGCCGTGAGCCAGGATCTGGCCCAGCTCCTGATTCAGGCTGGGCTCATGAAGAGGTGAAAGGGGGGTCCTAAAGGGGTTTTGGGGAGGTCTTAAAGGGGTTTGGGGGGGGTCCTAAAGGGGTTTGGGGGGGTCCTAAAGGGGTTTGGGGTGGGTCCTAAAGGGGTTTTGGGGGGGTCTTAAAGGGGTTTGGGGTGAGTCCTAAAGGGCTTTGGGGTGGGTCCTAAAGGGGTTTTTGGGGGGCACTGATGTTGGGGTCCCCCCACAGTGATGGGGGGGATGCGCCCTGCATCACCTCAGCTGGGTTCCAGTTCCTGCTGCTGGACACCCCAGCCCAGCTCTGGTACTTCATCCTGCAGTACCTGCGGGGGGCAGAGGTGAGATGAACCCCTCCCCCCCCCCATATGGGTGATGTCATCCCCTGTCCCCCAAATGGGGTCCCCCCCCTTCCCAGTGCTCCCATTGATCCCAGTTCAATCCAGGCGCGGGGCATGGACCTGGTGGAGATCCTGTCCTTCCTCTTCCAGCTCAGCTTCTCCACCCTGGGCAAGGTGAGGGGGTGTCGGGGTCACCACCCCCCATCGCCATTGATATTGGGGTGACCCCCCTATCCCCATAGGGTGTTATGGGGATCCCCCCTTGGCTTCGTGTGGGGGGTGACTGGGGGTAATCGGGGTGTAACCAGGGGGGTAACTGGAGGGACACTGGTGTAACTAGGGAGATACTGGGGTAATTGGGGGGGTAACTGGGGGTGTTACTTGGGGGGGTACTGGGGTAACTGGGGGGGCTACTAGGTTAACTGGGGCGTACTGGTATAACTGGGGTGCCTGTGCAGGATTACTCCGTGGAGGGCATGAGTGAGTCCCTGCTCAGCTTCCTGCAGCACCTGAGGGAGTTCGGCCTCGTCTTCCAGAGGAAGGTGCCATGGGGGGGACGACATGAGGGGGATGTGGGGTGACACAGAGGTATATGGGGGTGACACAGGGGTGACAGTGGGTGCCATGGGGTGGTGACCCAAGGGGGCTACACACAGAAGGACACAAGAGGCTCCAGACCCCCCTCAGGGGCCATAAATTGCCCCATTCTTAATGCCACCCTCTTCTGCCCCCTTTGTGTCCCCTCGTTGCCCCTCATTACCCCCATTGCTCCCATTACCCCCCATTGACCCCCACTGTCCCCCAGCGCAAGTCCCGCCGCTTCTACCCCACGCGCTTGGCCATCGCCTTGGCCTCGGGGCCGTCAGCGACCCCCCCGGAGCCTGGTGCTCGTGGTTTCATCCTGGTGGAGACCAACTACCGCATCTACGCCTACACCGGTGGGGCCTATCCCCAAGGGGGGGGCACCCCCATGGCCCTGTATCCCATTGTGCTCCATCCCTGCATCCTGACCCTTGTATCCCCCCTCTGTTCCCCATTGTCCCCAATGCCCCCCCCCCCCCCCAAACCTGCAGATTCAGAGCTTCAGGTCGCCCTCATCGCCCTCTTCTCGGAGCTCCTCTATCGCTTCCCCAACTTGGTGGTGGCCCAAGTGACCAGGGACAGTGTCCAGGCTGCCATCGCCAATGGCATCACCGCTGATCAGGTATGGGGGGGGCACACACACACAAAGGAGGTGGACGAGGATGTGGTTCAGGGGGTGATGGGGGTCTATTGGGGTGCCCTAGGGGGGAATGGGGGTATTGAGGTGCCTGGCAAGAGGGTATTGGGGTTCCTCATAGGGGTGCCCCCATTCACCTCTTCCCCCCTCTAGATCATCCACTTCCTCCGTACCCGAGCGCACCCTGTCATGGCCAAGCAGGTGGGTGCCTGGTCCATGGAGGGGGGGGTCTATAAAGGGGGGCATATCCATAGTGGGGGGGTCCCTGTGTCCACGCTGCCGTTTCCCCCCACCCAGACCCCGGTGCTGCCCCCCACCATCACCGACCAGATCCGCCTGTGGGAGTTGGAGCGGGACCGGCTGCGCTTCTCCGAGGGTGAGGCACCCCCAATGTCCCCCCCCCAACCCAGTGTCCCCAAGGGTTGGTGATGGTGACACCCCCCTTTAAGCCCCCATTGGAAGGTGACATCCCCTTGAGGTCCCTATGGGGCGATGGCATCCCCCTTATAGGGACACAGCCACCCCATGGGGGTGATGCTGACACCCCCCCCCATTTCCCTTTGCTCCATCCAGGGGTGCTGTACAACCAGTTCCTGTCGCAGGTGGACTTTGAGGTGCTGCGGGACCATGCGCGGGCGCTGGGGGTGCTGGTGTTCGAGCACCCAGGCCGGCGGCTCATGGTGGTGACCCCTGGTGGGCACCCCGATGTCAAGCGCTTCTGGAAGAGACAGAAGCACAGCTCATAACATAGGGATTCCCTCCTTGCACACACACACACACACCCCCCCCCCACGGCCCTTGGTTCTTGTGGTCCCCCAAGGATGGAGTCACCCTTGAGAGGAGAATGCGTTTTATAGGGAAAAGTATTTGGTTAATGAAAATGAGTTTTCTAGGTTTTTTCTATAATAAACCCATCATTTTGAGGAGGAAAGTTTTGAGAATAAATCTGGGTTTAGCTTAAAGTGGACGTTTGGGTGGCAATAAAGCAAGGGTTGTGATGGGGGTGGAAATAGGGGTTTGGGGGGAGGAAAATGAGTTTATAACAGGCAGAGTTGGGCAAAGGTGGATTTCTGAGAGGGTGACTTAATTTTAGAGAATAAATCAAAGGATTTGATCAAAACCACACTTCTAAAGGGCAAAATGAAGCCAGGGCTGGGTTTTGCCACAGCCTCCTGCCTTCTATGTCTATAGTCGCGTCTGAGGGCAGCACTTTGGGCAGAAGAAATAACGGGTGTTTTTGGGGGTGGAAAGCAGGGATTTATGGTGGGTTTGAAGCAAAAGGGATTATTCCCAAAAACATATACTATGGCGGGGATAAATTACCAGTTACAGGGGACAGAACTACCTGCAGCCCAGCGCACGACGAACCACGCTCCTCCACCAACATGGAAACCTCCACTGACGGCGATGCCACGGCCTCACGCCTTATATAGGGCGAGAGCGGACGTGGGCGAATCAGCTCGGGGGTCTCAATCAGGTCCGACCTTCCCTTCAAGCACCAGCCTCGGGCGGTGCCGCGGGCTTCAATCAGGTCCGACTAAGCCGCGCTCCGCCTTCGTCCAAAGCAGTTGGGTCCTAAAGCCCGACCGCAGGACGTCAGAGCCCGCAAATTGTTGGGGTGAGCAACTTCCCAGTGATGCTCCCATTAGAATGGCTGGAGTCGAAACAGGTCCCGAAGAGGTTTGACCCATAGGTGCAAAGTAACCGCAGCCTTTCTGAGGGCAGCACGTTGGGTTGGAGAAAGAACGGGTGTTTTTTTGGAGACGAAAACAGGGTTTATGGTGCGTTTGAGGAAAAATGGGTTACTCCCAAATGTATATACTAGGACAGTGGGGGTTTAAGGACTACAAGGGGCTAAAAGTACCTGCAGCGCACAACAATCCCGACCACACCAGCAGGAGCACCCCCACTGAAGCAGCTCTCCCCGCCTCCTGACTTAATAGGGAGGGACCGGACGCGGTCGAACCAACGCGGGGGTCTCAATCAGGTCCGACTTTCCCTACACTCACCGGACTCCGGTGGCGCCGCGGGCTTCAATCAGGTCCGACCCTGCTTCGCTTCGCCCTCGCCCAGCACTGCTAGGTCCTAAAGCCGACCGCAGGACGTCGAATCACGCAATGGGTTAGGGTGGACGGGCCTTAAAGCTCTTCCAGCTCCAACCCTGCCACGGGCAGGGACCCCTTCCACTGGAGCAGCTTGCTCCAAGCCCCTGTGTCCAACCTGCCCTTGAACACTGCCAGGGATGGGGCAGCCACAGCTTCTCTGGGCACCCTGTGCCAGCGCCTCAGCACCCTCACAGGGAAGAGTTTCTGCCTAAGACCTCATCTCAGTCTCCCCTCTGGCAGGTTAAAGCCATTCCCCTTGGCCTGTCCCTACAGATGCTTGTCCCAAGCCCCTCTCCAGATTTCCTGCAGCCCCTTTAGGCACTGGAGCCTCCTCCGGCCTGGCTCCAGCAGCTCCACGTCTCTCCTGTGTTGTTGTCCAAGAGCTGGAGGCAGGATGCATCCTGGAAACCCTCGAAGCTGCTGCTCACACTCGGGGTGGAGCCCAGGACACGGATGGCTCCTGGCCTCCATCACATTGAGTTTCTCCTCACCGGATACCAAGTCCTTCTCCTCAGGTCTCATCACCACTTTCTGCCTGGTAACCAGTGACACGGTCTCCATGGTGGAAGGATAAATTTTCTAGAAAACCCCTATGCACCACTCACACCTATTTCCCTTTCCTAATAACACTCAGGAGTACCCTAGAAGGCAAAGAACAGCTTCCCAGTCATGCTCTGATTGGGATGGCTGGAGTCAAAACCAGTCTTAAGAGGGTTTTTTCCCATGAGTGCACACAAAGTAACTGCAGCCCATCTGTGGGCAACACTTTGGGTTGAAGGATAGGTGTGTTTTGGGGTGAAAACAGTTTTTTTCCGGTGGTTTTGACAAAAAAAAAGAGGTAATGTAAAAAAACATTTACCAGGTCAGGAGCAGTTTAATAACTACAGGGAGACGACTGTCAGCGAAACTTCCTACAACATACTAAAACTTCAAAAGCAAAAACACCAGCGGCTGCACTGACTCCTGTGTCGCCTCCTCCCGTCTTATATAGGGCGGGACAGCACGCTGTTGAATCACCGCGAGGGTCTCAATCAGGTCCGACCTTCCCTTGACCGCACCAGACTCCGGTGGCGCCGCTGGTTTCAATCAGGTCCGACTCAACCTCGCTTCGCCTTCGCCCAACTCCGCTGGGTCCTAACCCCGACCGTAGATAGTCGAATCCCGCAATGGGTTGGGGTGAAGGGACCTTAAAGCTCCTCCAGTTCCAGCCCCTGCCACATTGAGCGTCTTCTCACCCGACCCTCCGAGTCCTTCACCCCAGGTCTCATCACCGCTTTCTGCCTTGTAACCAGTGACACGGCCTCCATGGCGGATGGAGGCACCATTCACACCCATTGCTCCTTCCTAATGACACCCAGAAGAATCACAGAAGGCAAAAAGCAGCTTCCCAGTCATGCTCCAATTGGGATGGCTGGAGTCGAAATCAGTCCCGAAAAAGTTTGACCCATGGGTGCACACAAAGTAATCCCAGCTCATCTGTGGGCTGCACTCTGGGTTGAAGAAAGAAGTAAGTGGTGTTTTTTTGGGTGGAAAGCAGGGTTTTATAGTGGGTTTGAAGGAAAAGATGTTATGTCCAAACGCATTTACAAGGGCAGAGGGGTTTACTGATTTCAGGGGATTAATTACAGGCTCTAATGACAGTGCTGCAATTACAGAGGAGCGGAGCTACCTGCCCCGCACCGAAACCCAGAGGCTGCCACAAGCAGCAGCAGCGCCGCCACTGAAGCCGCTACCGCCGCCTCCCGGCTTATACAGGAAGTGACCGGACCCAGTAGAATTAACCAGGGGGTCTCAATCAGGTCCGACCTTCCCTGCACGCACCAGACTCCGATAGCGCCGCGGGCTTCAATCAGGTCCGACCCAACCTCGCTTCGCCTTCGCTCAGCGCCGCTGTTCACTAAGCCCGATAGCAGGACGTCGAAGCACGCAATGGGTTGGGGTGAAGGGACCTTAAAAGTCTTCCAGTTCCAACCTCTGCCAGACTGAACTTCTCCTCACCCGACACGAAGTATTTCTCCCCAGGTCTAATCACCCTTTCTGCCTGATAACAAGTGACACAGCCTCCATGGGGGAGGGAGGAACAATTCACACGCATTTCCCCTTCGTAATGACACCCAGGAGTATCCCAGAAAGCAAAGAGCACCTTCCCAGTGATGCTCCCATTTGGATGGCCGGACTCGAAACCGCTCCCGAAAATTTTGGCCCATGGGCGCACACAATGTAACCCAAATCCCTCTGCAGGCAGCACTTGGCGTTGCAGATAGAAATAACGGGTGTTTTCTGGAGCGGAAAGCAGATTTCTGGCGGGTTTTAGGAAAAATGGCTTTTTCCCAAATGTTTTTAATAGGACAGGGCAGTTTAACGATTAGAAAGGATTAATTACATGTGCAAATTACGGGGGCCGGAGGTACCTGTCGCACAGCGCAACTCCGATAGCACAAAAAGCAGCAACACCTCCATTGACGCCGCTGCTGCCGCCTCCCGCCTTCTGTAGGGCGGCACCGGCCACTGTACAAACAGCGCAGGGGTCTCAATCAGGTCCGACCTTCCCTGCACGCACCACACTCCGGTGGCGCCGCGGGTTTCAATCAGGTCCGACCCAACCTCGCTTCGCCTTCGCCCAACTCCGCTGGGTCCTAAAGCCCGACCTCAGGACGTGAAAGCCCGCAATGGGTTGGGGTGAAGGGATTTAAAGCTTCTCCAGTTCCAACCCCTGCCACATTGAGCTTCTCCCCTTCTCATCACCGCTTTCCGCCTGGTAACCAGTGACACGGTCCCCATGGGGGAGTGAGGCACCATTCACGCCCATTTCCACTTCATAATGACACCCAGGAGTATCTCAGAACGCAAAGAGCAGCTTCCCAGTGATACTCCCATTCGGATGCCTGGAGTCAAGACCGGTTCACTAAACGGGTTTGACCTATGGGTGCACACAAACTAACCCAAACAGGTCTGCGGGCAGCACATTGGGTTGGCGAAAGAAATAACGGGTGGCTTGTTTTGTTTGTTGGTTTTTTTTTTTTGAGGTGGAAAGCAGAGATTTGTGGCAGGTTTCAGAGAAAATGGTTTTTTCCCAAACGCATTTAATAGGACGGGGAGGCTTAAGGACTATAGGGAATTAACTACAGCAGCCAATTACGCGGGGCGAAACTACCTGCCGTGCACCGCAACCCCGAAAACACCAGAAACAGCAGCTGCAATTCCTCCTCTGACATCCATGCTGCCGCTTCCCGCCTGATACTGGGCAGACCGGATACGGTCATATCAACGCGGGGGTCTCAATCAGGTCCGACCTTCCCTGACCGCACCAGACCCCGCTGGCGCCGCGGGCTTCAATCAGGTCCGACCCAACCTCGCTTTTCCTTCGAACAGTGCCGCTGGGTCCTAGAGCCAGACCGCAGGACGTCGAAGCCCGCAATGGGTTGGGGTGAAGGGATCTTAAAGCTGCTCCAGTTCCTACCCCTGCCAGACTGAGCTTCTCCTCACCCGACACCAAGTCCTTCTCCCTAGGTCTCAACACTGCTTTCTGCCTGGTAACAAGTGACACGGTCCCCGTGGGGGATGGAGGCACCATTAACACCCGTTTCCCCTTCCTAATGACAGACAGAAGCATCACAGAAGGCAAAAAGCAGCTTCCCAGTGATGCTCCAATTGGGATGG